GAGCCAATGGCACCCTCAGGGTCAAAGGCCTGCTTGGTCCTGCCCACGCGCCTCCGACTGCAGGAGAAGTTTGTCTTAGTTCTTGAATAAAGTTCCCAAGTTTCACGGCTCACCATGCTTCTCTTCTATTCTGTCTCCTGGGCAAGGCAAGGATTCCATGCCCAGCACCTGCAAAATGAGGCTGCAGGCAGCCAAGCTGGGCACAAAAGGGAAGAGTCACTCTGAGGGGTGACCCTGAGCCTGGTTGGAGGAGAGGGGGAGGGTGCGGTGGGAGAAGGGACCCCTGACCACAGGGGGCCAGAGGTCTTGGGGACAGCAGCTGGAAACAGAGAGCGTCACGGTGGCTGCTGGTGGGACCCTGGTGTGTGTGTGTGTGTACAGGGCTCCAGTGAACTTGAAACTCAACTCTCATGACCTGGGAGACACAGCTCTGGACAGAGGCAAGCTGTTCCCCGTGCCGGGATGAGGAGCTGGACATCCCACCAGCGATATCCCAGGCACTTGGTGTCCCTGCTGTCAGCTGAGCAATCTCTGCACGTGCTGTGCTGGTGAATCCAGTGAGTGAAGGGATTTTGTGTTTCACTTGTAAACATCCAGTTCTGCTCATCGGGAAAAGCAGAGAAGTACTGACCTGTGCTCCTGCTTTTTGACCGACTGGTTACAAACCCAGGGGTGCTGTTAAAGGCTTTGGCCTGTCTGTTTCAGTCTGTTCTGCCATTCATATCAACTGTGTGTGTATGTGTAGCTGCCCTTTGGGATGCAGCATCAGTCTTTGGAACACACACATTGGGACAGCAGCAGCCACATCCCTGTGGCTGCGACAGGAGAAGTCTCCTGGGGTTGAGTCCCCCACATTCAGCTCTGGTGGGACTGAAAGGAGAAATCCCCATGTTCAGCAGTGCCCTGGCTGCTCCCTGACAGAACAGGGAAGGAAACCCAGAGAAACTCTGCAGCAGAAATCACGATGGGCAGAAGCGCTTGCGAGGTTTGAAGGTGACAGCGAGGACTGGCATCTGGACTGGCATTATACAGTAACTGGGCTGCTGCTAACAGGAGGGCAGCAGGATGCGAGCTCAAAGCTTTGTACAGAAAGTTCTTTAGTGATTGTTTCCTCCAGCAGGTACCATTAAAGCATCTTGGCAGGACGTTGCCCTCCAGGTCCCATCATGGCTTCTCCCTCCTGGCCAGCTCTGCCTTTAAGAAACATGCAGTAACAGCATCACCAGAGCTCTTGGGGCCCAGGCAGGGCTCTCTAGAAAATGTTTGGAGTCTGGACTACTTCAGCTGTGCCTCTGTGGGAACAGGCAGATCATCTGGAGAGTGGGAAATGGGCTAGTACATCTGTTTGGCTACTTGTGAGGCTCGGATAGCTAAAAGTACTTTCAGTTTTTTTTTTTTTTTTTTTTTTTTTTTTTTTTTTTTTTTTCTTGGGGTGGATGCTGCTGTCTTGCAAAGACTGATGCTGCATCCCAAAGGGCAGCTACACACACGCACACACACGATTGATGTGAAGGGCAGAACAGACTGACACAGACAGGCCAAGGCCTTTACCAGCACCCCTGGGTTCATAACCAGCCCGTCCATAACCAGGAGCACAGGCTGTGAGAGACGAGGAACCAGACCTGTGAGAAACTAAGACAAACAACCTGGGAAAGCAAAAGTTGAGGCTGATTGAAGAAATGCCTCAAACACTGGCAAGACAAAACTCTGAGTCAAAGGATGCATGCTGTGGAGGCCGAAGCTGATAACGCTGCCTGATGTATCTGGGGGAGAGAGCCCTGTGGGGACAGGACGGCTCTGCCCTGGGGCACCTGGGCAGATTTCAAGGGCCATGTGTCCGGTTAATGAACTTTGCTTCATTATCCACGAAATGCATATTAAAGTTAACACCCCTCAATATGCTAACGAGGGCTGTCATGATCATGCTAATTACATCATCCCATGAAACACCTTACCCCTCCCCGTACATGGGATACGTAGCTATGTGGGTCGACCTAGGGGACGGACACAAGGAAAGTGGGTATAAATCAAGAGGGGGAATAAAGGGGCTCTCGGCCCTCCTCTCTGCCCTCTCTCTGCCCCCGACTGCCTGGAGAAAGCAGTGAAGCGAAGAAAACTGATGCCGCCTCCTGGAACCCTCACTGGCGGCATCAGCGCAGGAACCCAGACCGGTGATCTGTATTCCCCCATTCCCTCTATCTCCCTCTTTTCCTTTTTCCATTAAGAAATCCAAGGCATATTGTATTGCTCGCCACAACTTGCTATGTACTTAGCCAATTATCATGTGCTCAATTAGTACATTGTGGTTAGTTAATAAATGCTTGGACTTGGAGACTTGTTGTCTGCTCCAAATGGGGATTTGCGAATCTGAGTCACTTGTCCCCCTCCTCTGAGAGGGACGTGACACAGGCCAGTCCTTTGCCTTTCCCGATGGGCAGGACTGGATGCTTACTGATACAGAAAAATTATTTCTTGTTTTGAGACTTATTTACTTATAGAAAACTGATTAGCAACTTAATTATTACAGTATTACAGTATTAGTTATAGTATTACAGTATAGTACATAGTATTTTTTAATATTGCTAAGAATCCTGCTTGCCCAGACTGTTCTGTGGAATTTTACCAAGGACTAATGTGTTCATCAAAACAAAGCAGTTTACTGTGAAAATGCACCAAGAACTGCAGTGTTCAGCAAAATATGGTTTTGTCCTTGGGGAACAGGTGTGCTCTAACTAGTTGGGTCTTGGTAATGAGTAATGATAGCCATGTATGGATGCTAGAAGTTGTATCAGTTCTCTTATCTAAAGACAGAATGACTGAACTGGCTGAAAAACACTTGTTATTCAAGAAATTGGCCAAGAGAATATGCGCATGCTCTGGGGAAAAATCAAGGTGAGGAGGACTGTGAGCCTTCCTCGCAAAGACCCCCGAGATGCCCACCAGGAGGCAATGGACCAGGGCAAAGAGAACACAAACTGCTGACACCAGCCTCGAGAGCTCACCCAGCCTCACTCATGCATATGGATATTTGTGTTCTATAATCCAATGAATATGTATGTCCACACTCTATAAGTTTTTTGTAAAACGTGCTGTTGGGGTGCAAGCTTTGTGGGGAAATCCCCTTGCACCCCGGCTGGAATAAAAGCTACCTGCTTTATAACTCTATTTCGAGTTGTAGCGTCTTTTTTCTGAGAATCAATTTGGCAGCCCAGGTGGGACCCTCTCTGTCCGGCTGCAGGACCAGCTGAGAGGGGGTTGCTCTAGGCATGCCCTGAGGCTTATTTCTTGGAGAACCTCCCTCGCTTTGCAAATATTCGCAGGGACAGACAAGGACCATCCATTGGTTGCGGATCAAGTATGTTGGCGAAGGGGGAGACCTTTTCAGTCATAAGGAGACGTCCTACGCAAAGTAAAGAGCCTCTGTGCTTGTCCCTGAGTTTGGGGTGTGAATCCCCAAGCAGTGTGGTTGTGTGTTAGTGGGCCCATGGGTGACGGAGTGGTTTTGACACTCTGACCACATTGGTATCCTACGTTGACTTGGGTACTCAACCATGGGGTCGAGTGACTATGTGGCTGTGTGAGTATGGGGTCACGGGAGTGCTGTGGCGTTGCCATGTTACCATCAAATGCAAAATCTCATACTGTTTATAGTAATTCAGTCAATATCGTTCAGTTGCGGATGTACAGTGAATGATAAAGGGCAGATGGCTCATGGGTTTTGGTTCATGGAAATCACAACTTTGTCAATTATTATAATTGGGGTTTTGATGTTTGTAGTGTTTCTCATTTTATGCTGTGTGAATAATAAATGTGAGGGGCCCCTTTGTGTGGTTGTGTGACTGTGTGTGTGTGGCATGGCCCAGCCACAGAGTGAGTGCGGAGTTCTCTGATCCACAGTTCCACTATCCTGTGAGGGAAGGAAGCGGTCGGAGAGGAACAAAGTGCATGGCAGATGTTGGAACAGTGCTAGCCAAAGCAATTGTCAACTTTTGGTGTCCTATACACAGGAGTGGGGATTTTTCATGTAATCCAATTTTTGTTATTGAGTGTTTTACTTGTAAATATCATGTTTGGGTTGTGTTTGGAGGCGATTTCAACCGTGAAAACTGTGGGAGCTGGTCAGATTGGGATAGAACAGAGCTCTCGGCAGAGCTTGTACAGGCTTTCTGTGATAAATTAGATAGGGTAAAAAATCAGTAAAATCCTCTAATTGGACTGGGATTATATGTGCTGGATAAATTAACAGCCATCAGGAAAGAGCATGCCCTAGTGCTCATCTGCTGGGTCATCGGCACAGCCTCTTTTTTCATAGTGTTCCAAGTGTTACAAGTAAATATCCCTCTGGTAGGAGGCAGTAATTTGTGTCAATTCTTGTGCTGAATTTAGGTGCATATGCTGCACTGTGGTGAGAGCACACCTGTGTACTATTTGCCTGAGGGGGATACTGTCAGCTTATTGGGTAGCATGTTAAGGTAAAGTAGATGAGGTGGGAAGCGGCCAGAGTGGGGGACTAGTCAAAAAGAGCCCCCTGGGTTGCAGTGTAAAACACTGGAATGAGATAGGGGGACCTCCAGGCACAAGCGTGAATAAAAAGACCCTAATGAAATATTGCAATCAGTGGTGGCCCCTTTATAAATTGGATGAGGGAAAAAATGGCCCCTTAATGGGACCTGGCATTATAACACCTTGCTGCAATTGATGCTGTTTTTAAGGAGGGAAGGAAAATTTGATGAAGTCTCCTATGCAGACATGTTTTTCACCCTCCAAGATCATCCTGAATATCAAATAGACTGCGGTCTAAGACCCCCACAGGATCCACTAGTGCTGGCACTGGAAAAAAAAAATAAGAAGGAAGGGAAAGGAAAGTTGAAAAGATGTTGTTCATCATGCAGTATAGGACAAAGGTGCACAAAATAGGGGAAAGAGGAAAGGGCCGCCAAGG